AACCGCACGGGATAATCATTTTTCCTTGCGGTCGGGTTAAGTACCCGCACGGAACCAAAAATAATAAAAAAAAAGCGAAAATCGCCGCCCGCCCTCATCCGGCCGTCGCCACCGCGAGCTGACGAGCCCGCCGGCCTCCCCCGAGCTCGCCGGTGACGGATCTGCTTCTACCGCGCCCACCGACGACGGATCCGTCTCCCCTGAGCCCGTCATCGTTGTCACGAGCTCGCCGAGGTCAGCCGTTGAGGTCGTCGTCATCGTCGTCGTCGTCGAGGCGGGCCTCCCGAGGCAGCGGTGAGGACAAGCAGCCGCCGAGCCGAGCTGCCGCGGCGCCTCCGCCAGCAGCTGCCGCCGCTTCCTCGTCGCCTCGCCCGCTCGCCGCCGCGCCCGGCCGTCGCCGCGCCCGGCTCGCCGCCGCGCCCGGCTCGCCGCCGCGCCCGCTCGTCGCCTCGCTCGGCCCCCGCCTCGCCCGGCCATCGCCGCGCCCGGCTCGCCGCCGCGCCCACTCGTCGCCTTGCTCGGCCACCGCCTCACCCGCTCGCCGCCGCGATCTGCCGCCGCCTCGCCCGGCCGTCGCCGCGCCCGGCTTGCCACCGCGACCAGCCGCTGCCTCGCCCGCTCGCCGCGCCGGCCCGCCACCTTGCCCGGCTGTCGCCGCGCCCGGCTCGCCGCCTCGCCAGCCTGACAGAGGGGAAGGGGAGGAGGGGATGGGGAAGAGGTGGAAGGTGTGGAGGGAGTTGACTGGGAAGAGATAAGGTAGAGAAAGGAAGAGATAAAGGTAGAGAGAGGGGGTAGTTGAGAGATAATAAAAGGGAAAAAAAGTAAGAGATATAGGATGCGAAAAATTTGAAGTGTATGGGAGGGAAAGGAGGGAGGTATTTTCCTGTGCGGCCCACTTAAAAAGCCAGCACGGGAAAATCGATTTTTTCGTGCGGTCCACTTAAATCGACAGCACATGATAATGATGATTATCCCGTGGGGTCGGATTAGGAGGCCCGCATGGGAAAATTGATTTTCCTGTGCGGGCGATAGCCCCATGCCGGTCCCTTCATTTTTCTGTGCGGTTCTACTTATGAACCGCTTGGAAACAAAAGGGGTGGCGTCCAGGAAAATCTATCATGTAGTAGTGTGAGTAGAATACCATTCATAGCTAGAGATAGAAACCTATGCTAAGTTATTATATCATCGGTAGTAGCACAATTTATTTATTACCTGGTGAGCCCCGCAGCGGCGCGGGCCTCTTCCCTCCTCTCTCTCTCATTCCACGACGGATCCGGTGGTGGCTAGACAAAAGTGGCTATGGCAGCGTGGAAGTTTCAACCGTGGTGGTGGGCCGATCGAGCTCTTCGTCTTAGGTGATGTGGATTTTGTGATAACCACATGCTTAGTGGCAATTAAAGCTCGAGCCATCGATGAGCTCAGCGGCATCTAAGAGTAAAAGCAGGCTAGTATGCCCGTTTATTTATATTACTAAAGATTTTCATTTTTTTTATTTATTACAGAAGGCCAAATCACTATCAGGACATAATTATCTTCAGTTCTCCCACGTTGTTTCACACAATCGTTGATCGTACGCAGTTCCTGCTTATTGAGTAGAATACCATTAATAGCTAGAGATAGAAACATGTGCTAAGTTCTTGTATCATCAGTAGTATCACAATTTATTTATTACTTGGCTAGCTCCGCAGTGGTACGGGCCTCTTCCCTTTTCTCTCTCATTCCAAAATGGATCCGGTGGTGGCTAGACAAAAGAGGCTGTGGCAGCATGGAAGTTTCAACCGGTGGTGGTGGGCCGATCGAGCTCTTCGTCTTCGGTGACGTGGATTTTGTGATAACCACATACATAGTGGTAATTAAAGCTCGAGCCATCGATGAGCTCAGCGGCATCTAAGAGTAAAAGTGAGCAGGCCCGGTTGTCCATTTATTTATATTACTAAAGATTTCATTTTTTTATTTATTATAGAAGGCTAACTCACTATCAGGACGTAATTATCTTCAGTTCTCCCACGTTGTTTCACACAATCGTTGATCATGCACAGTTCCTGCTTGTTGAGTAGAAAGAATACCATTCATATATAGCTAGAGATAGAAACATGTGCTAAGCTCTTATATCATCGGTAGTAGCACAATTTATTCATTACTTGGCAAGCTCCGCAACGGTACGGGCCTCTTCCCTCCTCTCTCTCATTCCACAACGGAACCGGTGGTGGCTAGGCAAAAGAGGCTGTGGCAGCGTGGAACGTTTCAACCGGTGGTGGTGGACCTATCGAGCTCTTCATCTTCGGTGATGTGGATTTTGTGATAACCACATGCTTAGTGGCAATTAAAGCTCGAGCCATCGATTAGCTCAGCGGCATCTAAGAGTAAAAGTGAGCATGCCCGGTTGCCCGTTTATTTATATTATAAGTTTAGTATGATACCAATAAGTAAAAATAATATGTAAAATAGCTAGATAACATAGGTTTACGTAAGTTAATATGGTTTATAATAATTTAAATTTAAATAGTATATAGAATGGTGATTAAAATGTAAAAGTAAGGTGATATGACTTTATGAAAGAACAAAGAAAAGGAGAGAGATAATTTAGACCATAGATTAATCATTTATGCACTAAAAACAATTGATATGATATGACTTAATGAGAGAAGAGAGAAATAACATTAACTAAGTGAGGATGAAATATATAGGTATATAGCATATTATAGAAAATAATAAAGATATATATTGAAATATTATGTGAATTATGTGGAATGATGATTTAACATGCTTGCATCTTAAAAGCTCTCAAAAATTTAATAAATTACAAAATTATAGATAATATAGCATGTTTGCATGATGTTTAAATTTAATATTTGTTAGTGGATAATGACGTAACATCTTGTTAGTGGATGATAAGGCGGTACCCAAGATTTAGTAATTAATGGGTTATAATAAGTGGATTCGCAAGCTCCGCTTGCACGGTTGCACCCGCAGCAGCAAAGATCGAGCAAGGACAATGTGCTCTCCTAGGCTCCTAGCCACTGCTCATTCACGTTTTTAGATCTAAAGTTCTAGACATGAGCTCGCGAAGGTAAGTTCATAGATTGAGGGTAGGGGTTGTGGTTGTGTTGGACCACACGTGTCGCGCATTTCGCTCACATGGTCCGCGACTGTGTAGTGTGGCTCCAGGCTCCACTGCCAAGTGGACTTAGGCTCTGTTTGCAAGATCGATTAGCTAGGCTTTCTCTACCACATTAAATGAGAATCATGAACTATTAATGTGCACATCATCTAAAAGTTGTTTATCTAATCTATCGTATATTTACCCAAATTACACACTCTAGTTATTTTTTAAGTTGTAGTGTAATTATATTATAACTAGTATGTAAATATAGTGTAAGTAGAATATAACTATAGAATATTCTATAAGTATGTAGCTATAGTATACACTCTAATTTTTCCCTTCTCACTTCATGTTAAAAAAATAATCAACTGGTTTAACTGAGCAGTGAGAATGAGTAACATGCATTGTGTTCTTGGGCTATAAACGGATTGTCACCGGCAACAATAGCTCTGTTAATTACCCAAGTTATTATATATGTACCACGGTCACACATGTTATCCTAATTTAATAAACTAACGTTGTGTTTGGTTCATATCCCGTAAATTGCCACAACACAAATCTTGAAGGGGACCAAGTGATCCAGAAATCGTTTGTAACTAATTAAGGCAAAAAATTTAGAGATAGTATTTTAGCAAAACCGAATTGGGAAGGCTCATTCAAACTCAGTCTTAGATGTGTTGGGTCAGGTCGGGTCGGGGCACCCGAGCCCTCGCCTAGGCATGGCCTCTGCTTAGGTGGAGCCGTGGAGGCGTGTAAGTGAGCCAGATGCCCGGAGCCACTCCACCACGCGCGGATCTACGGTAGAAGGGCTGATGTCTCAGGCGACACTGACGACTTTAGGCTAAACCTATAGCGAAACTGTTTATCCATATATAACATGTTATAACACTTTGATCTAAATATAATTAGCAAACTATAACACCAACGAATCGATTTTCTGATCGTGACTGCTCACTACCACAAACGGTGCACGGGGAACGCTCCAACAACACAGCAAGAGCAAAGGTTTCTGTTCCGGATTGTGTCCTGTTTGCTGCGTCCACACCGGAACTAACCACACGCGCGCGCACAGGCGCAATCATCAGTCGCGCACGTCTCAACCGAAAACAAAACAGAATAACGGACACACGCGCGCAAAACGTCTCGCGCGGACGACGCGGGGCTGCGTCTGCGTCTGCGTCTGCGTCTGCGTGCACCATGCATACGTACTACTACCACATCGGTCGAGTTGGGGGGAGAAACTGCCTCGGCGCACGGCTCTGCGCTGCGCTGCTATGCTCCTTGCACACACACTGGCTCCGTCCATCCATCGGGCCCCCTCTCCCGTTGAAAAGGCTACACGAAAGATTCCCCCAAATAATTCGCGGTTGCTTTTCCCCCTCTCTATCTCTCTCCCAGCGCGGCGGACCAGTTTTTCCGCACAGGTCGCGGTCCTCATCCCAACTGACAAAAACAGGTGGGTTTGGATGTCGACCAAAGCTACGTGCTAAAGCTGCCTTTTGCACTCTCGCTCCGCCTCCGCCCATGCCCATGCGCGCGCTTCTCTCGCTCGTGCGATCGATTGACCATTATTTTGTCACGCACGCACTCAACTCGCATTAGCCGCCGACCCCCACTAGACGGACGCTAGTAATGCATTCCTGTGCGTGCTTAACAGTTTTTTTTTTTTAAAAAAACGCTACTACCTTTTGCAAGAGCCAATGAGGATAGCAGTGGTTCCAATTTGTTATGAGGCTGATTTCCTCAAACTTTCTCTCAGTTTTGTAGAGATGGAATCAATTGACCTGATCTTCTACTACCAGATAATAGATAGCTGTTTTGTTGGATCGATTGGTCTGAAGGAAAAGTTAGCTAGGTATATACGGTGCATGTATGGATCGAAGGAAGGTATACGTACCGTGAGGTAGATGAGGGAGGAGACGGTGAAGGTCCAGAAGCGGCCGAGGAAGGCGTCGGCGATGTAGGCGCCGGCGATGGGGGTCATCCAGACGGAGCCCGTCCAGTTGTTCACGTTCCGCACCGACGACACCGTCTCCTCCCGCAACTCCGTCGTCAGGTACACCACCAGGTTCGCCGCCACCCCGTAGAACGCCATCCGCTCGAACGCCTCGTACCCTGCACTACTTGCATATTTTCTTTCTTAATTTCTCACCCAAATATCTCTCTCTATATATATAGCAGATCGATCAAAGCTTTATTACCTACTAGGAAGGAGCAGGCCTTCCAGCGGCCGGTGCGAGCGGCGACGGCGGGCCGGCCACGGAGGTCGACGGAGCCGTCCTTGGTGAACTCCTGCTTGGCTTCTTCTTCCATCTCGATCTCTCTCTAGCTAGCTATCTGCGTCAGTCTGTCACTCGACCTGTGTGTCCAAATGTGCTTTGGCCGGAGCAGAGAGAGTGAGAGACCAGGATTCAACAGGAGATACATATATATATAGCGCATGGCTGGGCTGACTGCTGAGGCCGAGGCGTACCAACACCTATAGCTGTAGTAGGTGTTGTACGTAGGATAAAATCATATTTTCTGGTTTTGTGGCCACGGTTAAGCTGATACAGACGTGCATTATTTGGAACGTGGACCTCGATCTCGTGGTGTAGTAAACTACTTATACAGCTTAATTAATATTGTAAGGGAGCAAAATGGTAGGCTCCAAATAATCTGTCCATGTAACAATCTCGTACAGTAGCACTACCATTATTTGTTGGAGCCATTCCCCAATCGCCCAGCACCAAAGCTTGTCTCATTTTGTGCAAGAAAGCGAGGTTCCACTTTTGGGCCAGGCATGGGCTAACCCACTGCTTGTTGGGCTGATCACTGCGTGGGCCTTTATACTCAGGTGGCCTGGGAGACTAGTGTAATTCAAAGACAAAAAGGCCATGGAGTGTCAGCTAGCGCTCGTCGTCGATTTTACTCGTTGCCAGTGACGTGGCAGCGTCGAGGAAGTTTGCTCGTAATCTAGCGTTTTTATCCTCTTCGCTAATGTGTATTATAATGTACAGAAAGAAAGCCCACATCACTCTCTGTTTATTGGAAAAATACACGGAGAGTAAGAAGTGAGAGGACACACACTAGTACAGACCCTTCCATCTGTGACGGCCTCTAACATGCCTGGAATTAGCGGGCCGTCACAAGGAAGTCATTTCAATCGGACTGAAAAAGCGCCCGATAGAGATATGATCGCACAGACATGCTAGATGGGCATAAAACTCAGGCCCGTAATGAATGACGACACCTATTAGTGACGGGCCGTAATTTAGGCCCGATTGAGATAACATTCCATATCTCAATCGGGCCCCAAGTTGGAGCCCGTCACGGATAATGGTCATCCGTGACGGGCACCAACTTAGGACCCGATTGAGATAACAACTAGGCCTGTCATAGATGACTCATTCGTGACAGACATTGTACTAATGCCTAATTGAGATGACATAATCTCTATCGGGTTTTAACTAATGTCCGTCACCGATGAATATTTTTCCATTTTTCATATGAAATGTTTATATTTGTAAATTGACCTGTAGCAAAATAATTAACTGCAGTATAATAATTAATTTTATGAGTCAAAATATTTTTTGGGTAGTAAATGATTTCAAATGGAAAAATTGTCAACAATAAAGTTGTATAACTTATCAAGATTTACAACTTCTAGTTTGGTCATTTTTTATATAACTTTTTTTTGAACCGTTTGAATTTGAATTTGAAAATATGACAACTTCAAATAATATTTCAAATACTAAATGATTTCAAATGGAAAAATTGTCAACAACAAACTTGTATAACTTATCAAGATTTACAACTTTTAGTTTGGTCATTTTTCTATATAACTTTTTTTTGAACAGTTTGAATTTGAATTTGAAAATATGACAACTTCAAACAACATTTTTGAAATACTAAATGATTTCAAACTAAAAAATTCATCAACAACAAAGTTGTATAACTCATTAAGATCTATAACTTTTATTTTGGTCATTTTTCTATATATCATTTTTTTGAATAGTTTGAATTTGAATTTGCAAATATGACAACTTCAAATAACATTTTCAAATACTAAATGATTTCAACTGAAAAAATCATCAACAATAAAGTTGTATAACTCATCAAGATCTATAACTTTTATTTTGGTAATTTTTCTATATAATATTTTTTGAACAGTTTGAATTTGAATTTGTAAATATGACAACTTCAAAAAACATTTTCAAATTGTGAAACCATGTGTGGTTATAGTTCTTTTGTGATGGGAAATTGACAAGTACCGGAAGTGCAAGAAGTGTGTGCGTGGACTAACATTGGTCAGGTTGCGACATCTGTGCCAAGACAACTGTTGTTTGGTTCATGTGTGTGCAGGTGATCAGGGTCGATCTTGGTCAACGGCGGATCGGGACTAGACTCAGGGAGGAGTTGAGGTCCAGAGCGATCGAGGATGCCGGGTGACAAGATTGGACACAAGGTTGCACACGGTGGACGGACACCGTGTGAGGAGGTCTTCGCAACAGACTTTGCAAGGTCAAGTGCAAGTGCCGGGTGCGCAAAGAAAATGGTGAATGGAAGAAGAGCTTGCATATATGCACTAGTGTGTGCATATGCAAGCATGGGCAGCTAGTTGATTAGCTAGCTAGCTTGTGATGCTTCGGCAGTGCATACGGTCCAATACCATGCATGACTGCATGTGGGCTGGCTGGAAGAGAGGCCAACCGGCCTGTCCGGCTCGGGTGTTCGGTCAGCAGGAGGCCACATGGCCGGTCCTGACTGGCCCAAGATGGAGACAGCCCACGGCGACGGGCCCATGAAGACAAGGCAAGCAAGTCCAAGGCATGCGGGGGGCGGGAGCCGTACGAGCGACGTGGCGTCCTCCCGTTCGACGGACCACGGCATCGGCAGGAAGACGTGACACGCGGCAGGCAGCAACTCGGAGGCGAGCGCGGGAGATCTCGGCGATGGCGCGCGCGCGTGAGGGACACGCGGCAGGCGCGGACTTGACCGCGCGCTCTCTCGCGGGAGCTATACCGCGTGGGTCCTACGCAGATTTTGGACGGGATGCGCGGGAAACTTCGCTCGCTGACCAGAGCGCGAGCGCGCGCGGAGCACGTGGACACATGGCGCATGTGGATAGGCTCGGATGGGCATGACGCGGATCGGGGGTGCGAGGAGTCTTCGGATCGACGACGTGGCAAGCATCTAAGAGGTTTCCTTCGCATGTAAGGAAGAATGAACAGCCGGGATTGCATCTGAGATAGGGTTTCGTCCTAGGGGTATTTGAGACAATGTCTTAGGGGTTTTAGGCTATAAATAGAGAGATGGATGCAAGGGTGGAGGTTGCTCCTTTTGTAATCATTTTGAGATGCTCGGTGAGAGAGTTTCCGTGTGAGTTTGGAGTGTGTTTGCCCGAGAGGCTTTTGTATTAGGATTAGTTTGGAGTGTGTTTGTCCGAGAGATTTTAAGTTTGTGTTAATGTTCCTCTGAAGGTGTATGTTTGCTCCTAGTTGAGCGGTTATTTTGCATCACCTATAAATGAAATGATTTGAAGGATTTCATTTTTGCCTTGTCCATTTAAATTCCGCAATTTAAATTCCGCTTGCAATTTGAACTTTGCGATGATGAGTTTTGCTCACTCTTCCTCACCTCTCTTCTAGTTTCGGGAATTCCTTTTCTCTTCCTCCTCTAGTTTCGGGAATTCCTTCTCTCTTCTTTTTCTCTCTTCTTTTCTAGATCCGGCTTCTCTAATAGCCGCGGTTCTAGTAAGGATTTTGAGAAATCCGGCTTGATGAGTATTTTCGGGGGCAAGATTTGAATTGCTATATTCACCCCCCCCTCTATAGCTATTCTTGGTCTTTCAATTGGTATCAGAGCCCGGTTAAGTTCGTTGTAACCTAACCGTGGCAACGAACGCAGCTATGGAGGAAAAATACTCTATGAAACCATTTGTTTTCGATGGACACAATTTTGTCATTTGGAAGGCACGAATGGAGGCCTACCTCCCGTCGCAAGGGCATAATGTGTGGAATAAGGTTAAATCACCTTACACTGTGCCCGATGATGTTGACATCACGCCTGCAAATATGGCTCAGGTTGATTTTAATTATCGTGCAAGAAATGCAATCATTGGTGGAATTTCTTCTGGTGAATTTAATCGTGTTCAACACCACAAGTCCGCTCATGACATGTGGACTGCTCTGTGCAATTTCCATGAGGGAAACAATGATATTCAATTGGTTCGTTAGAATCAATTTCATAAAGAATATCAAAGATTTGAGATGCACCCAGGAGAGTCCATTGATTCTTATTTCAAGCGTTTTGGAGAAATTGTTTCGAAGTTGAGATCTGTTGGAAAAGAATTTTCTGATAATGATAATGCTCGCCATCTTTTGAATTGTCTTGATTATGGTGTTTGGGAAATGAAAGTTACTTCCATCACAGAGAGTGCACCTCTGAGTGAACTTACCATGGACAAGCTTTACTCAAAGCTAAAAACCCATGAGATGGATGTTTTCCATCGGAAAGGCCTCAAACACTCGATGGCTTTGGTAGCTGATCCCTCTGGTAGTACTTCTTCTAATGACTCAGCTTTTGTGTGTGGTGGCTTCTCTCTTGCCGCTTTACACTCAGTCACTGAGGAGCAATTAGAGAAGATCCCTGAAGATGATCTTGCTCTTTTTGCTAGAAAATTCTCAAGAGCTTACAAAAATGTGAGAGATAGAAAAAGAGGAAAAACCAATGAACCATTTGTGTGTTTTGAGTGTGGAGAGCCTAACCACATAAGAGTGAATTGTCCCAAGTTGAAGAAGAAGAGTGACAAGACGACCAAGAAGCCCGAGGGACAAGGGCGAAAGGGGAAGAAGGATTTGATGAAGAAGGCGATCCACAAGGTCTTGGCGGCTCTTGAGGAGGTGCAGCTTAGCGACATCGACTCCGACGACGATGATCAAGAAAAGGGGGACAAGGACTTCTCCGGGATGTGCTGTCTCGCCAACAACGAGGACTTCATCAACCTGTGTCTCATGGCACTTGAGGATAAGGATGACTCATCGGAGCATCCTGAGGTATGTCTTGATGATATCCCTTCCTTGGATGGTTCTCTTTGTGATGATTCTTGCTCAGATAATGACACTGTTGATGATGAACTAAGCAAAGAAAGAATGGCACACTTGATGATTGAAATTAGTGACAAGTATAGGTCTTCTAAGTATAAAATTGAGAAACTAAAATCTGAAAATGATGGAATGGCGCTAGAAATTGCTAGGCTTCGATCCATGATTCCTGAGGAGGATACCTGTTCTACTTGTGCTTCATATCTTTCTGAAATTAATCTCCTCAAGGATAAGTTGAAATCATGTACTTTAGGAGCTGGGAATCCTTCTAGTGCTAGTGCTGCTTGCTCTACTTGCTATGAAATGAAAGTTGATATGGGTTTGCTTGAGATGGAATTGAAAGAACTAAAAGAAAAATTTGTTCATGATAGGATTGGTAGGTGTGAAAATTGTCCCATTCTCACTAGTGACAATGATGAATTAAGACAACAAGTTGCCATGCTTAGGACCAAGAATGATTTGTTAGAATCTTTTGCTACTAAGGAACCTATTCATTCTTCATGTGCTAATTGTGCTA